GAGTTTATTTTCTTTGTAAATGTGTTTTGTTCTGCATCAAGGAGGTATAACAGGATGTCTTGTGTAGGTAAACATTACATAAAGTTTTTTTTCAGAACAGGCGGTGTAATCAAGGTACAAATGTATACAGTAAGGAGAGAAATTGTTTCTGTGAGTTTGATGTATTTTGCTTTGTCTTATGCTGTAAAAAACAACCAAATATGGAAACCCCAGAAAAATAAGAATGTAGTTCTAAAATTTGCATTTTCATATGATTGTATTTCCATTATGCCTCTAAATATTGATAAAACCAAAACCCAGCCTATTAACATGTGATTGTGTTTGCCATTATGATAACTTCTCACAAAATAAATCCTGTCAGTGTTTGGTCAACAGTAATTGATGTAATTGCAAATTTGTAATTGTAAAATGTATTTTATTTTAGAAATGGAAAGAAAAGACAGCACTGCTTTCATTTATTTTTAATGTTTGTAAGATCAGGATTTTAATAATTTTTTAAAATTACAGAGGAATGTTTTTGTAACATTTGTTTTCAGTTAATAATGGTTAAAACTCTTTTTGAGCCAGATTTTCATATTTCTGATTATTTTGCTGTTTGATTCTTGATTTTTAATGTATAGATAAGTCATGGAAAATACAGTAAAGAACTTGGAAACTTTGTATTTTTAAAAATATCCTCTTGTGGTGGTATGAGAATGAATACTTTTGCAGCAGTGAATCATATATTTTTTTTCTTCATTAACATCATTTGGTTTGTTTGTTATAGTTGTTTTCTATTTTTAACACTGTCAGAGTTCACTACTTTAACTCTTAGATCAGAGCATATAACAGGTTTTTTTCAAGACTTTCCTCTACCAAATTGACCGTTTGTTTTTTCCACTTTCTACCCTTCATGGCTACAGTATTAGAATTCGAAAGACATCCAAGACCTCTTCCTATCCTTTTAGCTAACACTGCAAATCCTCCTTTCCACCCATACATTCCTTTAAAACCAAACTCATACGTCCCTAACTGCCTACTAGTCCCATATGCCACAAGTAATGTCCCTTTAAATAGTGTTGTCCAAATATATTTTGCCTATTGTACCCTTTAATACCTTCTTGTACTGGGGCCCTGTCCACCATGGCTAAATATACCGTTTTATTTAGGATAATGCAAATAATATACCAGTTTTGAAAAGATTGCATTGCAGGAGTGTTGGCCAATAAATTCGAATTTAATACAAATAAAAAAGATTCATAGGACATGTGATGTTTCTCTCTCACTCTCTCTTTCTCTCTCTCTCTCTCTATATATATATGGGGGTGGGTGTGGGTGTGGGTGTGGGTGTTGTTTGTGTGTTGTTTGTGTGTGTGTGTGTTTCACATATCCATATGATCTATGTTGAGGGTACGCAGAAAAATTCTTTATTATTCTTAAGCCTCCTACATTCCTCAAAAAATAAGTATGGCCAAAATTTCAGTTTTCTAACACAGGCCCAAATTCTTCACTAAAAATTGGTGCCTAAGCAGAAACTGTGGGATACATGGTTCATCCCACTGGTTGAGGAAGAATATAAGAATCCTATCCCCTATATGTTCAGTTACCCCATTCCAACTTCCCTCCTCCTTACACCCAAGGAACTTTAAGGCAAGACCACATGGTCGAGCACAGCCTGGAAGTGCCTATGATTTTATTTATATCATATTAATTCTTTAATGAGCAGAAAGACACTGGCACTAATCACTGCAACCAGTTCATAGTTAACTGCAGTGTGGGCATTTTGTGCAGGTTTGACCGCTAAAAAGACCACTTATGTGCGCCCTTCATACTTCATAATAAGATTTTCAGATAATAGCATATTTGGAAAGTAATTATTTAAGTAAAATATGTTTTCCATCTGGCAATGCTGGACAGAGAAGTGGTTATATGGTAAAAAGCAATAGATAATCCAGAATTTGTAGAAACAATTATATTAATGGAATGGGAGTGTACAAGATAGTCTAGCAGTTATGATGGCTATGTTCTCACACGCACACCCACCAGTAGACTTGTAAGCATAATATTTTGGAATCTTGTACCATATAGCAAGAAAACATATTTACAAAACTTTTGCAGTCATTGTAGTAAATAAAATCTACTTGGCTCTTTTACCATTCAATATCTGTTTTGTTCCTATATGGCATAAGACTAAGTCTACTGGTGGGTGTACATGTAATAACCTCGCCAACATAGCTGCTAGACTATCTAGTACACACCCAATTCATCAAATATAACTGTTTTCACGTTTTTTATTAAATGCACATTTTTATCTATACACATTTTTATCAACTTTCACTCATAGAAAATCCATATTCTCATTTACTAAATATCAAGCTTTGATGGGGTTCAGGCCAGTTTTAAGGAAATTATTCATAAAATTCTCATTACAGCCAATTTTTGAGAACCAGAGCATTTTAAAAATATTATATAGCTTTGAATTACCTCGTTATGATCTGCAACACTAAAAGTTCTTCAAAACTAATGTTTGCAAACATGCACGCATGCACGCACGCACGCACGCACGCACGCACGCACGCGCACGCACGCACACACGCACACACAGAGAGTCTACCTATCTATTTACCCCCCAAACCCTTCCTTAGGATTACCTCTACCTTGGACCTCAGCCCTCGGCTCAACTAACTGCACGGTCTTTTCTTCTTTCCTTTTCCTTATCTCCCCCCCAGTACCATTCCCGTTGTTGTCGTGGGGGGGGGGGCTTAGGAGACGAAGACTGAGACCCAGTGCACGGATCTCCCCTGCCTAGGGCCTCAGCCCTCGACTCAAAAAATTTTGTATGGTCTTTTCTCCTTCTAGCTCTTTCGTTTCCGACCCTTCTCCAACCCCTTCTACTATCTACTTCCTAAGGCGTAAGAGCCGTGCTGAAAGGATGAAAGCTTGGCTGTGTGCCAGTCCTGACCGGCCTGAGGGAACCATGGACACGGTATTCCCCTTACCTGAGGAGTAGACTTTATTTCCCCAACATAGCCAAGGCTTCCTACGGCCAATAATGAAGAATTAATACCCATATTAGAGGCAATGAGGCTTGCTCCTTCATCAAATAGCCCCACCGATTCAAACTCTCCCGGCTCCCCGACCCCAGGCTCTCCTTTGATCACGACTCTGAACACAACTACTACCCACTCATCAATGCCTACTAGTGCATTACCCACCCAAACCGAGACTCAATCTCCAGAAGACATTCCTACTCTCCCAACTTCCTCAACTTCATCACCTCTACCCCCACAACCTTCTTCATCAAACACCCCATCCTCCCGTATTACTACCGTACAGCCTTATTCTCCATCTCTCCGTTATACTAGTCCCCTCAACAATACTCCCTCTTCCGCACGTCCCCGACCGTCTACTACCACCAACCCTACAAATATTTATTTATTATTTAGCCCAGTTAAATGGGACCGATTTTTTGTTATCTTTACTCAGGCAACACTTCTCTTTCAGCAATGTCTTTTGTACCCGACACGATCGCTCCCGTCTCGTAACAATCACATCTAAAACTGAAGCTATAGCATTATCAAATCTAACTGATCACTCTGGCAACCCCATTCCTGCAGAACCTCATCCAACTCTTAATATTTGTACAGGAACTGTATCCCCAGCAAACTGCCCAGTCGATACCAAAGATTGTTCAGATTGTGGAGAAGACTTACTCCTGCCAAACACTGGCGCTCCACAGACCGATGCCCCATATGTGTCCAACCCGGTCATAATCGATCAAACTGCTCTGCACAAACGCACATGTGCTAACTGCGGCGGACCTCATAATTTATTTTATAGAGGCTGTCCCACTTACAAGTTTGAGTTTGAGGTAACACTCTCAGATACAAAAATGGCCTCACTTTACGTGAAGCCAGACAGGAAGCACGTCGACAAGGTTTCTCTCATACTCCCTACTCTATTAATGTCATTTCACTGCCCCTCCCCCTCCACCCCAAGATGTTCCTACACCCTCCCCTATACCTACTTACTTCCCCGCTGCCACTTCTACCTCCTACCTTCCCCAGTCAAATTATTTTGCCACTAAATCCAGACACTCCAATCTCTACTGCAGTTCCAATCTCAACTACAGTTCCAATCTCAACTCCAGCCCCAACACCACCCCCTCTCCCTTCCCGCATTACACGCAGCAGACTGACTAAACGTTCCACCCCATCTTGCCATATCGCACACTGACCTCCACCTACCTTTGCCTTTATTCCTCAGACACCAGTGTCCTCTTCCCCCACTCATAAGAAAACCTTCGTCTCAGAAAAAAAACTCCAACTCCACTGCAGAAACTATGGGAGATATTCGAAGCTTTATGCTTGAGACAAAAGTTCTACAACTCATACTCCCTCCACACTCGAAGTGACTGCCGATATCCATCCTCCTACTTATATTCCCCCTACAACCCTCCCTCCTACTCCCTCTCTACACAACCCAACCCCCTCAATTCCGCCTACTACCGATATCCATCCTCCTGATACTACCGATATCAATCTTCCTCCTACTCATATCCCCCTACACCCCTTCCTCCTACTTCCTCCCAACACAATCCATCCCCCTCAACTCCAACTGCTGTACATATCCATCCACCCGACACCCATCCTCCTCCTGCTCATATTCCCCCTACACCACTTCCTCCTGCTCCCTCCCAACACAACTCACCCCCTTCAACTCCAACTACACGTACATTCTCCCTCCCCCCATCCCCTCTATCATTCCACTCCCTCCTGGATACACATGTGAAACATCTATGTAATTCCCTTACCTAAACCCACCATAGCCCATTCACATGTCAACTTCTTTACGCAACTTTAACCTTTCAATATCACAAGATTGTTGATGAATAGCAACCATCACCCTTCATCCCTCCTTTAATATATTTCCCTGTAGTGCTATATGACCTTAGATGTCTACCACATTTATTTTGCCTTTTTTAACCATTAACCCTTAACATTTCCTTATGTTCCCCAACTTTCCCTTGTCCATTTCCCAAGATGTGAGAGCCATGCTGAAAGGATGAAAAGCTGTCTTTGAGCCAGTCATGCTTCAGGGAGGGTATTCCCATGGTTGATTATCTAGCCCTACCCCTCATGGTCTCCATACTTGAGGGATGGACCTTTTGCCTTCTGCACATATTTCAGGCTTATCATGGCCAGTAACTGAAGACTTTTTACCCTTATTAGGGGCATTGAGGCTTGCCCCTTTACCATCTAGCCTCCTTGAATCTAACTCCTCTGGGTTACTGATCTATGACTCTCCTCTGATCACGGCTATGATCACTGCTACGAACTCGCCATTGTCGACACGCTGTCAATTTAACCCATTCCAAGTCATCTACCCAGGTAGTAACTAAACCCCCAACCCCAGTATGATTAACCGTGTCTCCTGCACAATCGTCACCATTCCCTACATCTCTTATTACAGCTCTTCCTCCCATCCTCGCATCTCTCCAATTCTCACCTCTACAAACCTTTTGAATATTCTGTTTAGCCCAGCCAAGTAGGATCGATTGTTTGATCGTTCACGCCTTTTCACAGTTACATCTGAGTCCCAAACCCATGCACTATCTATTCTGGTTGACCTCACAGGTAAGGCTATTCCTGCCCAATCCCATTCCTTCCTTAATAC